CCCCAAAACCCCAAAACCCCAAAACCCCATACAGTTCACCTCCAATTGAATTATCTTATTTCAATACCGATGTTGGAGTCCCACTCTGACAGAATCTTCTCTAGCTTTTCATTTTTTCCATGGAAATAGCCTCCGAATTCTCTCAGATTCTTTCTGATTGATGGAGACTGTATGATGGCAGCTAGCCAGTGGTCTTTATCTTCCATTCCGTCTTGGAGGATCCTGCCGATCTTGAACTCAACAGAAGGGTTGACTCTGAAATCAGTTGTAGCTCCAGGAACTGTAGTTACGCTAAGCCAGATCTCTCCAATATGATGGAATGCATGCAAGAGAGCCTATCAACTGTTAGACTTATATCAACCATTGTGGAAGATTGTAAATACTTACATTGATGTCTTTCGCTGAAAGGCAGGGAACTATAAACTCATTAGGCAACAAGATCAATGAATAACATTCTCATGTAAAGTATTAAAGAGAAATCTGACATCTATGCATGGACTTTTATCAAACATTTTTCTAAAATTTTGATACTAATTTCTACAATTTTCTTCTCCATTTCTATCGGGGTCAAATCCAAATTGAATGTGTCAAAATGATGAGCAAGAGGGAAGGATACCGTACCTCCGATGCTAGGTCTTCTTCTAATAAACCTTGCCACTCTGCAGATGTTGATGATGCCTCTCCTAGGGATGCTACTCTTCCTATAATGCCGTCAGATTTAGGCCAGAAAATTAGCAGGTAAATGTTAGCCCTTACGTGTGAACTTTTGGTGAATTTGGCGCTCTGTACCTGTCTGAATGGCTGATGTACAACTCATCAAAGTACTTGAACTCCATGTACTCCAGATGAGTGGCTGGATAGTGGGCAATATCATCCATTATCTCAAGGATGCTATACAAAGCAATCTGTAAGTATGGAGTCGAAGATAGGAGCCATAGTCCAAATTCCTGACATTTTAAGAGTTAAAAATACTAAAAAGTAGGAATGACGATGCATATCAACATAACTCATGAGGAAACTTTCTCAGGCTATTATAAAATATGGCTGCAATCTTGTTGATATTAAAGCCTATGCTTACTTGAATTGAACTTTTAATTTGCCACATCCAAATTTCCGTACCTCCTTCTTGCTCCTCATGCCTAAAGTCACACTCTCTGACTTACCTCACTGGCCTTCGTAGAGCTTCTTCATGGAGTAGCCCAGAGGTCTGCTCAGAACACATTTGTGGTCCATGTATTCATCTCTATGGTAGTAAAGCTTTTCTTGTTGGTGGATTTTAAGTTCGATAGCACGTAAAGACTCCATTTACAATTAACTGAATTTAATTATTCCAATTTTATTTAAGTATTTTGGGGTTTTGGGGTTTTGGGGTTTTGGGG